CTAACTCCCAGATCAGGAAGATACATTTGAGTCCTGCTTCCTATCTCCTTGCCAGTTGACCTCTTAATAAAGCCCTTTCTTTTCTCAAAAACCAATGGCACAGTATTTGCTTCTATGCATATCAGGTAGTGAGACCACTGCTTAGTAACACATTAAAAAAATTTTTTTTAATAAAGAGGAATGGCTCTAATGTGGCAACAAATAAATATGAGTGGGACAATTGTAATAGATGAGGGGGATGTAAATCACACAAATAGAAAGTTCTGTAATTAGTGTTCTTGAGCCTCGTTCCAAACAGGAAGCTAGATAATTCAATAGGATATCAAATAGGTGGCCCATCCCGCCCAGAGAGCAGAGATTTAGAAATAAATGTACAATTTAATTTTTTTTTTTTGAGTTGGAGTCTCACTCTGTTGCCCAGACCGGAGTATAGTGGTCACTCCCAGTCACCGCAGCCTCGACCTGCTGGGCTCTGGCGGTCCTTCCGCCCCAGCCTTCCAAGTAGCTGGAACTACAGGCGTGTGCTACCACACCCAGTTAATTTTTTGATTTATTGTAGAGATGAGGTCTCACCAAGTTGGCCAGGTGGGTCTCGAACCCGTGGGCTCAGGCAATCCACTCACCTCAGCCTCCCAAGGTGCAGGATTACAGGCTGAGTCACCGAGATCGGCTACAATTTAATTTTTAAAATGAAAAAAAGGTCAGGTGTGGTGGCTCATGTTTGTAACCCCAGCACTTTAAGAGGCCAAGGCAGGCAGATTGCTTGAGACCAGGAGTTCAAGATCAGCTTGGGCAACATAGCAAAACCTCGTCTCTATAAAAAAATCAACAAATTAATTGGGCACGATTGCATGCACCTATAGTCCCAAGCTACTCAAGAGACTGAGGTGAAAGGATTGCTTGAGCCCAGGAGATTGAAGGCTTCCGTGAGCCCTGATTGTCATGATCATGGCACTGCACTACAGCCTGGATAACAGAGTGAGATCCCCCGAATCCCCCGCAAAAAAAAAAAAATTTGGAATGTATATTTAAAAAAAAAAAAAATCTCAGCTGGGCTCGGTGGCTCAGTCTGTAATCCCAGCACTTTGGGAGGCTGAGGCGAGTGGAATGCCTGAGCCCACAGGTTTGAGACCAGTCCAGGCAACTTGGCGAGACCTCGTCTCTACAATAAATAAAAAATTAGCCAGGTATGGTAGTGCACCCCTGTAGTTCTGGCTATCTGGAAGGCTGAGGTGGCCGTGAGCATGCCACTGGACTCCAGCCTGGGCAGCAGAGTGAGAATCCAACTCAAAAACAAAAACAAAAAACAAAACTTCTCTAGTCAATGTTTATGAATAACTAACCATTAAGATAGAAAGCTACTAGAGTATACTAGAGTATACTTAATTCTGAATGAAAGCTGAATATTTGGAGATTCTTATTTATGAATACCTCAAATTTTCTAAACAATTTGAAGAGATTTTGAAAAGTACTGGAAATTTTGGGGGAAAAAAAAGATAAATAAAAACAAGATCAAGATCAAGGCAATAAATAGAAGCTACACATAAGGTGAGAACGCGGAAAGCATGCTGCTAGAGATGGTCTGCCTGTCTTTGGCACTGAGTTTCCAATCATCAAATCAAAGAGTAAATGATCACAAGTTTTAGAGGACTGATGAGATAAAAATAAACCTGTGGTCATGCCAGGAACTGCCTTGTTGAAACCACCTAAATAAAATTAATATAGGGCCATGGGGTAAAAGCTGTGGAAGAGACCCGAGTTCTCTAAGTTGCAGCTAAGTTTGGAAATGAACAAATTTGTTTTTTCTCAGATTGCCTTACACTTCTAAGAATGCTTGCACATAGTTGTTTCAATAGAGAGTTATTGAGATTTTCATGTCCTTAAGGGACAGGGATGGGGGGCTTCTGGTGAATTTGATCAACATATTTTCTCTTAAACAATGGGTATCTCGGCCAAGCTGGGTGGCTCAGTCTGTAATCCTAGTACTTTGGGAGGCTGAGGTGTGTAGATTGTCTGAGCCCGCAGGTTCGAGACCCACCCAGGCAACTTGGCGAGACCTTGTCTCTATAATAAATCAAAAATTAGCCAGGTGCATTAGCGCATGCCTGTAGTTTGGGCTACTTGGAAGGCTGAGGCAGAATGATTGCCAGAGACCAAAAGGTCGAGACTGCAGTGGCCGGGAGCGTGCCACTGCACTCCAGTCTGGGTGAGAGGGTGCGATTCCAACTCATAAAATAAATAAATAGATAAAATTAATATTGTAAATCTCCAAAAGTAATATTTCATACAATCCAATTAACAAGAAGCAGAAATCTCAAGGTTATCATCTCTGGCAGGTATGAGTACAGATATTGTATGTTGTCAGTTAATACCGACCAACTTATGTTGTTAAACAATCAAACTGAAAGCAGAGTTACCACCTTCTTACAAAGTCTCAAGAATGTAATTAAAACCCAGACTAAAACAGAGAGCGACCCCATCTCCACAGAGAGGAAGGCTGAAGGAGTCAACTCAGTCAAAGCAAAAATAAATGCCATAGAAACCTGAAGGTTGTTTTGGCATGAAACATGGCTGCAATATTCTACTCTGGAAATTTTAAAAAGTCATCTGTCTCAAATTACCCAAAAAATAAAAATATTCCTATAAAAACATTCCCTAAATACCTCATTTTAAGCAGCATAAACTTATTTTTAAAATATATCTTAGCAGTAACTAAGTAAGATAATCTACTGTAATGAGATGTTAGATAAATATTGGTAGAGATCATCTGCCAAAAATAAAGATGTGTGTTTTTTACAAAAGCGAAGTTGTTTTCACCAGTACTTAGATAGCAGAAGCAGTTATCTATGGAGAAGACTCCTTGTTTGTGACAGTAAAAACTTAAGATAGGGGAGGAATACTAACATTTCAGCTCTCTACAGTAGAGAAGCATGCAGTCAGCTCCTAAGAAATGGTGATGAATTTGTAATAAATCATTACTGCAGTTAGACAGATAGAAGAATAAGCAAAATATGGCCTAGTTTTTTTCATTTCAAAAGTATTTGATTTGTCAAGAAGCTACTTCTAGCAAAGCCTGATGCCTGTGATGGTGTGAAGGTAATAATATCAAATGCCTATATTGAGCACCACCTGTTAAAGATGAAATCTCCAATTGTGTGAACATTAACAACATTAATAAGCATAGGAGTGGTAACAGTGGCTAAAACAGTCATTCCAAATGTGAAAGCAAGAATGAGGGAAAAGAGGCTTCTATTGACAGGAGAGTTTCAAGAAGTGAAATCACTCAGGATCCTGGCTCCTTTCCAAAGGGCTTCTTTGTATTTTCAATAAGACAATCCTTGTTTTGATGAGAAACCTATTCTCTTTCCTTCCCCTCCAATATGCACCCTTAAAAGAAAAATAAAAGTTTGGTAACAAATAACATTCAAGACTGTTAAGTAGAAAAGGAAACAATTACCATTGCTGGTGTCTTTTATGCAAAGTAAGAATTGCTGCTGGAGACTGACTTGATTGTTTTAATATTTATTGTGGAAGCTTGGCCCAGCAGGCTTCCTCCTTCCCCTACCAGATACCTCCCTTTAAAGACTTCCCCAACCAGGCTGCCAAGAGGCCTTGGGATATGACCAGGTTACAGCCAGTACTGCAGAACAGAAGACCTCATCACCTACTGATGACATACCTCCATACACAGAAAATGGTCAAGTAACCTCTCCTCCTCTTCCCTCTTCCCCCACTATTCTACAACTGAATTTCCTCAACCAACATACAGAAGATCTTTTTAGCTAATTTTGGACAGTACTAGGGCCTGCTAGATACTCAATAAATGGTGTTATTAATTGTAATTGAAAGGAGACACCTATAAAAACCTACAATAAACTGAGTTTAGTATAGTCTTTTTGCCTCAGGATAACCATTTTTGCTTAGACTTTACCCCTGATACGCTTTGAATCTAGCATAGGTTAAACACAGATCAATTTCCAATAGGCAGGTTTTAGGAAGCATTCAGATTTTTCACTGCAGGTCCAGAGGCAGCCTACCCCACCCCCTGGGCAAATCTCCATCAGAAGGAAGACTAGGACAGCCCAACCTTCCAATTCATGGTTTAGCATAATAATCTCTAGGAAACTTTTAGGTTCCTTGTCAAGGCAGAATATCAAAGATCATCTCTTGGCTGGTTGAAGTCATAGAAATGGCTTTTTGCTAAGGAGTTTGTGGATTGCAAACGTCTAACAAGTCTTTTGAAGGAAAAACCCCTCCCCTTGTTGCAAAATTCGTACAAGTCTCTTGCAGGAAAAACCCCTAACCCCTCCCCTTGTCTCCCACCATGGCAGTAATCATGTGACTAACCCACCCATCTGCCTGCTGTAAAGTACTTATCTACCCCTTTGTGATGACTTGGAGCAGACCACCACCCAATCACCTTAATGACCTTCCCCTATCAAAGGGAAATGGTTAAAAGGACTCAACCATGAGCAGCCATTTTGTCATTGCCTTGCTAGACTCTGGTGTGGCCATGTGCTCTTTGAGCTATGGTTGTTGCCATGCTAACTGGCTTTGGCCCCCTTCCCTACCATGGGGAGGTGAATCTCCTCTTTCTTTCTCTCTCTCTCTAATTTACTTTTAAAATAAACTACATTTTCTAATCTAACTTCTGTGTAATTCTTTGCATCTTTCATGCAGCATCAGATCACACGCAAGTGGGCCTGACCTAACATTCTGGAGGCCCCCTGGGACAGTGTGACTCTAACAGTAATAATGTGTACTCCATAGTGCCAAGCACACAGAGCCCAATAAATCTTAAATAACAATAATGAAAGTATGTGATTAGTTAATGAGTGATTATTAAGCACTTTGCAAATATAAAGTCATACACAGTATAAACCACTGGGTTAAGAGCAAGAGAAAGCAACACAGAGTGAAAGGAAGGAGAGACTTGGATGAGTAGAGGACTCTGTGCTGGCTGAGATGATAGCTGAGTCCCTGCCAGTCAGAACACTCACATTCCTCCAATGGTGACAGTGGCACAGGTACGCTCTGAAAAGGCAGGCACCGTCTCTGTGGCTAGACTGGCTGGTCTAATGTAGTCCACCGTCACATTGACCTAAAAATAAAGAAGGAAGTTAGGGTTGAGAGTCTGCAACATAGCTTACTAACGGCCACACATATCTGCACAATCATAAAAGATCAACTTACTCGCAGTTTGATTTTCTAGATCTAAGATTTGAAAAAACAGTAATATGATAGCTGAGCAACAGACTGGGAGAAAATATTTGCAAAACATATAACTGATACTGGACAGTTACCTAAAATATACAAAGATTTCTTAAAACTGAATAATAAGAAAACAGCTTGACAGGCCAGGCACAGTGGCTCATTCCTATAATCCCAGCACTTTGGGAGGCCAAGGAGAAAGGATTATTTGAGCCCAGGAGTTTGAGAACAGGTTGGCAACATAGTGAGACCTCGTCTATACAAAAAATTTTTTTAAAAAAATTAGCTGGGTGTGATGGCACACACTGTAGTCCTAGCTATCCAGGAAGCTGAGGCAGAAAGATTGCCTGAATCAGGAGGTCAAGGCTGCAGCGAGCCATGATCATGCCACTGCACTCTAGTTGGGTGAGAGTGAAACACTCATCTCAAAAAAAAAGGAGAGAAAACAACCTGATTAAAAAATGCAAAAGGTCCGAATAGCCCAAAGATGACACACAGATGCCAAGCATAGGAAAAGAAGCTCCCCAGCATGTCATTAGGGAATGGCCAATTTAAGAAATAAGACAGTACCACACACCTATTATGTCCAAATCCAAAGCACTAACAACACCAAATGCACTCAAGGATGTGGAGTCACAGGAACTCTAACTCACCAGTAAAGGGCATGCAAAAGGATACAGCAACTCTGGAAGACAGTATGGTGGATTCTTAACTGAACATACTCTAACCATTTGATCCAGGAATACAGCTCCTAGAATTTGCCCAGAAGACTTGAAAACTTATGTTCACACAAAATCCTACCCAGGGATATTAACGGCAGCTTTGCTTAAAACCTGGAAGCAACAAAGATGTTCTTTAGTAGGTGAATGGACAAATAAAGAGGGATATTCAGGCGAAAGAATATTATTCAGTGCTAAAAACAAATGCACTGGCCATTGCCTTGCTAGACTCTGATGTGGTCATGTGCTCTTTGAGCTATGGCTGTTGTCATGCTTCCTGGCTTTGGCCCCCTCCCCCACCTTGGGGAGATGAATCTTCTCTCTCCCTTCTCTTTCTCTCTCTAATTTACTTTTAAATAAACTACAGTTTTTAATCTAAAAAAAAAAAAAAAGAAATGTGCTTATCAAACCATGAAAAGACATGGAGGAACCTTAGATGCACATTACTATGTGAAAGCAGTCAATCTAAAAGGTGTCACACTGTATGATTCCAACTATATGACATTCTGGAAAAGGCAAAACTATAAAGACAGTAAAAAAGTTCAGCGGTTGCGGGTTAGGAGGTAAGGGGGGATGAATGCATAGAGAACTGGGGATTTTCAGGGTAACGAAACTATTTTGTATGATACTGAATGGTATATACATGCCATTATATAAATGCCAAAACCCACAGTGTAGCACAAAGCGTGAAACCTATGGAATCTGTGTGATAATAATGTGCCTATGTAGTTCAACAACTGTAACTACTATACCACTCTTGTGTGGGACATTGTGTGTGGAGGGTGGGAGTGTGGGGGGGGGGGAGCCAGAAGTTATATGGGAAATCTGTACTCTCTACTAAATTTTGCCGTGAACCTAAAACTGCTCAAAAAAATAATGTCTATTTTAAAAAGACAGACTAAAGCTGATAACTAAAGAGTATGTTTTATGACAGAATACATAAGGCCCCACAGAAATTCTACTTGACAAAGGAGAGGCTTGCACCACTTCTGCAGGACTGCTAGACATTATAATAAATCAGTTCTTTAACCTTTTCTGGGTCAGACTACTTTGAAACCCTGTTTTTAAAAATATGAACTGCATCCACAGAAAAACTGCAAGTAAATTCAGTCTGTCATAGCTTCTCAAGGACCAAGTTAAGAGCTATCAGAAAAAGCAAACAAGATGGCAATCACAAAGATGCCTGGAATTAGTTTCACAGTATGTAAATCAAAAATACAAATCTAACTACCTCCAATACCAACACAGTTGGAGTCAGGTAGTTATGGGGGTCAAAAAGAAAAAAAAAGGGTAGAATAGACTAGAAGAATCTTTAGGTTTTGAGTTAACAAAGGTTATGTATGATGATAGGAAATTAGAAGCAAAACGTGGGAAAACTGTTTAGTCCTACTATACACTAAATAAATGGATGCACACATTAAGCAATGCTTTTTCTTTCTAAAACCTTTGGAGATAAACATGCTTATGTGTCAAAAGAAACAAGCATGTGGTATCCTCTAGCAAACATACAGGGTATATGTCTTTATAGAATAAAGGTGTAGGCTTGATTTGAGTCATAACCAAGGTTTACACACCTACACTGAAGAGAAGTATCGGTTTAAGTCGACTTAAGCCATCCCCACAGTCCAGAAACCCTTTTCTAAACACATCTTCAGTTCTCACTGATCAGCTTAAAGACAGCATATTGCACAAGCATCAAGTTCAGTCACACTGCTGGAAAGCACCATTAATGTCCTTTCAAACAGTCTTCTCTTCAAAAACTTATTTTAAAAATGAACATGGAAATTTGGAAAAGGACAGCTGCCTCAAAATTCCAACTGTCAGATCACTCACTAGAACACTCCATCGAATCATGCTTCAGAAGCAATGAAAGGAGCTATCAGAGAACAAGCCAATTAAAGGCTGAGGTTAAGGTAAATCATTCTTACGAGAAGTACTGTCATAACACAACAACACAGAAAATAAAAAGACATAAAGACGGCTCTAAAAACCAGAATCTAGCTTGAAATTACTGTGAGGTCTTACTTATGTCTCTAAATCTCAGAAGATGGGTAAATGTGAGACATGTGATCAGACAGAGGAGGAGATGAACTAGTTCCCTCCAAGAAAAAAGTTTTAATAGTTTCCCTGCATGCGCTGGCCAGAGTTAATACAATCCAAAGGGCAATGGATGGTAGGTCTGCACATGGAGAGGCATGGGTGACTCAGATCAATGAGAGGGGAAGTAGTCTTTTTTTTTTTTGAGTTGGAGTCTCACTCTGTCGCCCAGACTGGAGTGCAGTGGCCGCTCCCGGCCACTGCAGCCTCGACCTGCTGGGCTCCGGCGAGCCTTCCACCTCAGCCTTCCGAGTAGCTGGAATTACAGGCATGTGCTACCACATCCGGCTGATTTTTTGATTTACTGTAGAGATGAGGTCTCGCTGCCCAGGCGGTTCTCGAACCCGCGGGCTCAAGCAATCCACTCACCTCGGGAAGTAGTCTTGATGCTAAGTTGATACACACAGAACTCTCCTTGGACAAGGCCCTACAACTCACCTACAAAGCAGAAAGAGGGCCAGGAAAGCAACAGGACAGCTGGAATCGTGACAGAAATTACACAAGAAATCACAAGTGTATGGAAGCTAGACTGCAAAGGTAGCCATACCATGGAATGAAAAGTATCTCAGGGCCAATTTTAAATAGGACATATCCACAGGGTATGGTCCACTGGGGGGCATGTGGTGGGAAGTTAAAGTCCATGATTCTTTTGTGTTTTCACCCAATACATCTAGCAAACTCAAGCTCTCAATTCTACTACCAGGAAAAAAGAAATCATCACTGCCTAAAAATAAACTAAGTGAATCTCAAGGTTATTTTGCATCTGCCGATGCCAAGTCTCCCCCTCAGCAGGCAGAGAGGGGTGGGACAGCAGCTCTTCAGCACAGAAACATGAACGCTCTACTCAGAGAGAGCACTAATTCATCCAGAAGGCCACATGCATGGCGGTGGTGGGAGTAACAAGGAGAGTAACAAATAAAAGCGAACACCTGTGCATCTTTCAGGCCAGAAGGCCAAATCAAGACACTGTTCTAAAACCGTCTTCCACGAAATCAATGGAAAGACAGAAAAACTTTAATCCTCAATAACCAAAAGAAACAACGGCATTCATTGGCCAATTAACTGTTTCCTATACCTAGATAAAGAGAACTGTAAATAAGTCAGAGATTAGAGAGCTCTTTGTAAACGCAACATTATTAGAGAAAATATCAAATACAAATGAGGCCCTGAGAATAGCCCACAGCCAAGATACACACCTGCAGGCAGCTATGACAAATTAGGAATTAAAGTCAATGTGTAATTAGCATTTATGTCCTTCTCTTGTGGATTCTGAGATCTATCCTCTACCATGGAATTTTTCATCTCTAGATACTCATCACTGACCTGTCAATCACTTGAAAAAGAGCCACAGTTTTAACAGTTTCAATTAAAACCAATGTAAATCTTAGCAATGTCTTCATGTGAGTAAATGATAGGCAGAATTTAGTGTTTGTGGTTAAACACATACAAAATGGCATGAGTTGAAGAGAAGAAACTAATAAATACAGAAGTGTTCTTCCTTTTTAAAGCAGATACTCCTGAAATATTTGGTATACAAGTATGTTACAAATACATTACCAAAAGGCTATATCACTGACTCAAAGCATGATTCCTGTTTACAGCAATGACCAACCACAAGGAATGCTAGGCTCTTGCTTGGTTCTACTTGCTGCTCTCTTACAAATGAGTTACATAACATCTTTAGGTCTCAGTTTCTCTTTACCTTGAAAATAAGAGCACTAGATTAAAACTTTAGAGATGACTTAAATCTAGAATTCTATAATTAAGTCAGACACAGTATACTCCGTGGTGTTTTCTTAAACTGCTGTTTCCTACCTTATATTACTACAATCTATTGGAACACACAGATCATAAGCTCCATGAGAGGGGAAACCATGTCTCTTATTCACAGAAAGAGTTGAATAGGCCTACCAGGTAGCAGGGGAAAATAAAGCAAATATTGCTTACATGAATAATTACAAATAATCAGCAATGCCTGCAGATATAATATTATGAAGGACATCTTTGAAATGAAGTTAGGCATTTTGAGGACCACATTGACAAAGTTGTTGACCATTCTGCTGTTTTATATAAC